GCTCCTAAATAATTTGGTTTTAATCACGCAAGTGTCTGATAGTCCTATTCGTCTCCCCCAGGAGAAGACGCATCATGAGATTATGGGTCAATTGATTTACACTACAATGTTCCTGTTTTAGGATCATTTTGCTAAACAGTTTAAAAACAGAAACTGGTTAGTAGTATAGCAACCACCTCATTAATCATTCTACTCAGGGCTTGCTTTGTCTCACGGTCTGTCTGCCGGGTACCTCACAGACAACTCAATGTCAATCTTTTGTTCACATTCAATTAACTCCGCAAATTGTACGCACAATCATATTCTCTACATATTAAGTAGATAATAATGTATGACCTGTCTGTGTGCATACTTATGTATTCTGAACTATTTCTGTTTGTGCGGAGCAAAGCACCTGACCACCAGGAGTTATTTAAAATAATTCGCAACTCCTGAATGATACAACTGTGCTGTTAAAATAAATTAATATTATGCAAATGTTTGAGACTGTGATTCAACCCACGTATGCCATTCCTATGTAACTGCGATCAATTAATTACAATCGATGTGTTTATTTACCCGCGGCCATGCTGCCACGCTGGACGCTTGAAGGACGCAGTGTGTTCCCACCGTAGCGGTAGTTCACTGATGAAGAGTATGAGATCTAACTACTGACCTACTGAATGACAATTGTATTCAACATAAATATTTATGACTGGATATTCATGGGCGCACTCTTGGGATAATTAATTATTTAATGAAATGAACCCACAGTGCAAAATAAAATAATTATTTGTCGTAGTCAGACATTGTGTTTGTATCATTCTTATTTTTCCTGCTACAGGTCCACAGGAAGAAATTCCCTAGTTGTCCTTTGTTGTATGTGCGTACATGAATATTAAATAAATAAACAATGCTGTCCGCAATGGTTTTAGTGGCGAAATAGTTTGGTTTGTGCTATCTTGATAATCATTGATCTTGATAAGATTTTAAATGAGATTATCATTTAGATGTTATCGCTGCGTTAACTTTAGTCATAAAAACAATTATTCTTTCTACATAGTTATGTGGTTGCCATATTAACGTTATCTAAATTCCTATCCGCTGCCTGTGTTTAAGCATGGTATAAAACATTGGGCTACACCAGGTATACGCATAAGTAGGGAAAGGTTATTTGAGCTTTACGGTATGAAACCATTTAATCATAGTGAGGCTTTTCACATTTATGTCTCCAAATATTCAAAAACGTTTAAATTAGTTTGTAAGCAGGCTAAAGCACTTTACATTACTAATAAAATTAAGACTGCAGAAAATAAAATAAAAACTACCTGGAATATAATTAATGACGAGACAGGTAGAAATAAATCACGTAGTGCTGAATTTAATCTAAATACTGCGAATGGACGCATCAATTCAAATTATAAAGTTGCACAGGAATTTGAAAGTTTCTTTAAAAATATTCCGATTAAAACTACGGAAGCATTGAAATCATCTCCGACTCTTTCCGTTGAACTTCTTAAAAGTAATATCAATGAGTGCCTTTCTGAGTTTCGATTTCAATACACAAAAACCCAAGCAGTAATTAAAGCGTTCAAAGAGATCAAAGTTAAGTCTACTGAAGATCTCTGGGGCATGTCTGTTAGGGTGTGTAGGTCTTTTATAGAGACTATAGCGCCTCATTTAGCGTTTATTTTTAATAAAAGTGTAGATCACGGAGTTTTCCCGGATTTAATGAAACATAGTAAAGTAGTTCCATTGTTTAAATCCGGTGATAGTGCAGAACCCAATAACTATAGGCCGGTCTCTATTTTACCAGCGCTCAGCAAAGTATTTGAAAGGCTGATGCTTTCTCAGATGTTGCGTCACTTTAACATGAATTCTATTTTTCATGATCAACAATACGGATTCACCAAGGGTCGCTGCACTACTGACGCGGGAGTAGCTCTAATTAAGCGGGTGTTCGCCTCTTGGGAAGAAGCACGGGATGCCATCGGCATATTTTGTGATCTTTCGAAGGCATTCGACTGTGTTGAGCATGAGACACTATTGCTGAAGCTGAAACACTACGGCATTCGGGGGACGTCGCTAAATCTGTTGAAATCATACCTTCAGGATAGGCAACTTAAAGTACAAGTAAATAAAGTAAATTCACAGGGTGCTAGCATATCTATGGGTGTACCGCAGGGCTCGGTACTAGGTCCATTCTTATTTTTAGCGTACATAAATGACTTGCCCCATTTATTTAAAAATGAACCGCAGATTGTATTATTTGCTGATGACACTTCATTAGTTTTTAAAATTAATAGACGCACAAATAGTTATGACGACGTAAATAATGCCCTAATGAAAGTTCAAAATTGGTTTACATTAAATAACTTAGTACTAAACAATAAAAAGACAAAATGTATTAGATTTGTTTTGCCAAATGTTAAAAGCAACGAATGTGACATATTATTGAATGGTGAGAAATTAGAGTTTGTAAAAGAGACAACTTTCCTGGGAATTACTGTAGACGACAAATTGCAATGGGGTCCTCACATTACATCATTAGCGGGACGATTGAGCTCTGCAGCTTATGCTGTCTGGAAGATACGACAGTTAACTGACATAGACACGGCAAGACTAGTGTATTTCAGTTACTTTCATAGCATTATGTCGTATGACATTTTGCTGTGGGGACACGCTGCTGACATTGAGTCTATCTTTATCTTACAAAAGCGCGCCGTCAGAGCTATCTACAATCTAGGTCGTCGCGAATCACTCAGAGAAAGGTTTAAGGAGATCAACATTATGACCGTTCCATGTCAATTTATTTATGAAAACATTATGTATGTTAGGAAAAACCTACAGTTATTTGGTAAAGTGTCGGACAGACACCACTATCAAACTAGACATAAGAATAGATTAAGTCAGCCAATTTCGAGATTAGCGAAAGTAAGTAAGTCGTTCATGGGATTCTGTGTTAAATGTTATAATAAGATACCAGGCGATGTACAACAACTAAATGAATCTAAATTTAAATTATGTATAAAGAAAACTTTATGTAGACAAGCATATTACAAACTTAATGAATATATAGAGGATAAAAATGCATGGATGCAGGCTAGTCCGGCTCCACAGGATAACTAAAAACACTTGTTTTAATGAAATCGTAAATAATACAGCCATATTGCTAAATAGTATATTGTTTAACTTAGATAACCATTGTAAATGTGAGAGCCCTGTAATTAACTTAATATTAAATTAGATTAGTAGATTTCATTTGTGTCAGCTTGGAGTTGTCATGCTCACTCAAAGGTCTCATTGGCGGTGGCGCGTGCAGTGGATCGCTCGATTCCCTACAATATGGTTGAGTTGGGCGGTGCTGGTGTACGTGTCATGTTCGTGAACGGGCGCCGTCAATTGGGACTGGTCAGCTCCAGACTGTATTACTGTCCTTAAGGTTATTTTCTTTTTTGATCACTTTGACTGGATTTTAGTGTTACATTGTTCTCGCACAATCCAAACAGCAAAACTATGTAACTAGTAAATTGTATTGTGAACCTGATTGAAAAAGAGTAACCTATGGAGTTTCTTGCTCGTTCTTCTCCATAGGAATCTACGCCTTGGAATGAACAAATAGCTTCACTTTAAATTTTTGTTTTTGTTGACGTTCAAAGGTGCCATTCTGGCCTAATTGAAATAAATGATTTTGACTTTGACTTTGAAAGCTTAGTCGTAATTCGTAAATAACATCCAATTCGTTTGAATATACCTAATAATAATAACGTTATATACGATGAATAGGGATAAGGTTAATATAAACATTATATTTTTAATCTTGACTGCCTCGTTGGCCGAGTGGTCGCAAGTGCGACTACCGGGCAAGGGATATCGGATTCGATTCCCGGGTCGGGAAAAGTATTACTGGGTTTAGAAAATTCTCAGTAGTAGCACGGAGTTTGGAATTGTGTCCGGTATATGGCAATAGGCTCACCCCTATTACATGGGACTATGGGACTCATAATATAAATAGTGAAAAGTGGGTGTTACATTGTGCAGTGGTATAATGTGCATCTCTGCCTACCCCTTCGAGGATGAAAGGCGCGATGTTAATGTATTTTAAATCTCTACGTGTCCCGAAGCAAAATCAATTCAGTTTTGACTTGACTGATTTTTCAATACAAAGCACTGCTCACTCTGTCCAGTCAATACATCTAGCAGTACAGCTACAGCTCGTGTCGACGCGAGACGCGACACGCGACATACGATTCCTTAATTAAGACATCGCATGTTCCACACACAGTGCTGATCAGTATCAGCTGTACACTGATACTCAGTGCATTCTTTAGAAATTGTTATAATCTCGGCCATTAGCATCCTGATAACGGTTTAACTGGCATAATGAGCGTATCATTACGTTATCAGGCACTCCACTACTTACACGTATTACCTCAATTCGTTGTCAGCCACTCTAATTGCTGACTGATTGGCTGGCAGACATTTTGTCGCAACTTGCAGCACACGTTGACGTAGGTAATGTTAATTTCCTGCTACAAATATTGATTCTGATTCGTGCAAACAGTTTGAGGTAAATAATTATTAATTAAACCTTATTAATTTGTAATTTAAACATAAAAGGTACTTGGTTAATTAGTTGTTACTCTCGATTTTAGCATTAGGCAGATTTTCTTAAGGCGTATCATAGTAACGTTTCAATATCAAGGTTCTACCGGAGCTCTCGTTGGCCCAGTCAAGTTCAATGTCTTGGTCGCCATACACGGTCACTGGTAACATTGACATTTCCATAATGTTATGTAGCACAGCACTCGCTTGGACAACGTCGCCAAATGTTGGAGGCCTAGCGCCCACTGATACACGTCATTAATTGTTGAACTTATTTAGGATGTTTTATTGTAGTTTCATAAGTCTCGGACATTCCACCGGAATTATAAGTTAATCGTGAGTTGGTAACGTTTTTGTAGGGGTTTGTTCTATAGTAAAGTGATACAGTGTCTGTAAGATAGTATGTGTGGTTGCAGTGTTCGTGCCTGGAGCCGCGCGTGAAGTGCCGCACGATGTCGAAGAAGCCGGCCGCGCAGCCGACGCTGCACAAGGTGATCATGGTGGGCTCCGGCGGCGTGGGCAAGTCCGCGCTCACGCTGCAGTTCATGTACGACGAGTTCGTTGAAGACTACGAGCCCACTAAGGCAGACAGCTATAGGAAGAAGGTAAAGAATATACCATATTATAATATTTTTGTTTAAGAACCAAACGTGGGCTTGGTATTACCTAAGATTACGTGTGAATTAGTCACAGAAGTAGTTATTACAGCAACTTACTATCTTAAGAAAACAAGGCCAACCCTAGTAATTGATGGCGAGTGGCACCTTATAGTATAAATATTGGTAAAAACGAAGCACCTACCTCTAGTTCCTTATTACAAGGCCTGCCTCAATATCAGATCGCATGAGAATCACTACTAAGTAGTGAAAAACTTTCTACTTGATATGCACAGAGATCTGTTCTCACGGGCTCGGGAGAAAAGAGATTACATTAAACATTATTCCGGTGAATGTACGAGTATTACCTCTCTGATTGCTGTGGGAACTAACATCCGTCTCATTGAGAAGGTTCCCATGCGAGGGCTGCGGAATAATCAGATATTTATGTGGAAAGTTGAATACTGACATTCGTAGCAAAGGGCTGGGTCATTCGAGACAAATATATCGTGCTTTAATGAACGTGTACAGACGTATTATAATTATGCAAAGTTTCCCTTCTTCTTTTCTATAACTCGATGTATCACTCCTTTTAATAAAGTTTCGTGACAAGGAATTAGCCCGACAGCTGAGTGTCGCCTATGTCTTGTGTAACCGTTGTAATTAATATAAATAAATAAAATAACCGATGCTACAAAAGTTTTAACTTTATTGACACGATGTTTGCAGGTAGTGTTGGACGGTGAGGAGGTTCAGATCGACATCCTGGACACGGCGGGGCAGGAGGACTACGCCGCCATCAGAGACAACTACTTCCGATCAGGAGAGGGCTTCCTCTGTGTCTTCTCCATCACTGAGCCCGAGAGTTTTGATGCCACGCAGGAGTTCAGGTAAACCATTAAAATTACTAAGGTAATATATTGTCAAATCTCGGACTATGTCAATATTTCCTACATCTACTCTTAAAGACGGCTCTCCCCCACACGTTGTAACAGTAAGTGTCAATGTCCAGAGAACAGATCCTGCGCGTGAAGAACGACGAGAACATTCCGTTCCTGCTGGTGGGCAACAAGTCGGACCTGGCGGACAAGCGCCGCGTGCCGCTCGACAACTGCCGCGAGCGCGCGCAGCACTGGCAGGTGCCCTACGTCGAGACTTCCGCCAAGACGCGGGACAACGTCGACAAGGTCAGACTCACTAGTATACCTCTCTTTATAATATACCCATTCAATTTTCACTTAAAATTAGATTAGACAATCTTGAATCGATAATTATGAGCGACTAAGCCTGTCCCCACCTGTACACCCACTCTCTCAGTGTGTTGTGTTGGCCCGGACCGAGCGTGGGCCTCGCACGCTTGTGCCTGTACTGTACTGACGCCTGGCTCTGGCTGGCTTCTTAGAGTTGCGCTGCATCGCTCGCTCGCCTGACGCTTTCCTTACCTCACCTACACTTACAACACACACTTCACATCAATCCAACAACATTGCAGGAGATGTTCCTCTACGATGCCATTCGTGTCTGTTGGCACATCTCATCCCAATAGCGTTAGGTTTCTGCCGGGCAGTGTGCGGTGCAACTCTAAGTTAAATATACATGTAGGTGTATTGAACCAGTGCAGTAGGCTCGGTTACTCAGGGACCAGCGCCTATATCGCTGCTCGTGTAGCAGTGATGTAACAGCCTATGTTTGTGACCATGTATGTATGGCTAGTACCGTCCGTGGTGTCCCTGGCAGCGTGGGTGTGGGTGGTGGGTGTGTGTGGGTGTGTGACGTAGCGTCCTGTGCAGGTGTTCTTTGACCTGATGCGTGAGATCCGGTCGCGCAAGTCTGACGACAGCCGCGCCACCAACGGGGACGTCAAGGGGAAAAAGCGGAGGAAAATCAAGTGCGCCATATTGTAGGCAGAGACCCGATACTATACTACAGGCGCTCGTCTCGTCAGTGATATGTCGCAACGGGTGGCGGCGTGCGGGCTGTGTCTGCCTGTACTCGTACAATGGTCCACTCTGCCGACTGTCCTGTGGACGGACCGACAGACAACAACCGCCACACGCCTTCTACTCCACTAATCAATAACACATCTTGTAAATTCGTTTATTGTATTTGAAACTCTGTTACATGGACGTGAAGGTCGATGGTCGCGTGTCGCCGGCACGTCCACATATACTAGGTGTAAGCAGGCTATTGTAAATTTTAATATATTTCGCCCACTTTGGTGCTTGCATTTATTGAATACTGTTTGTAACGAAACACGTCGAAACAATACATTTTATAAAGTAACTTTTAAACAGAGTTAAACAGATAGTTGAATAGTTTAGTTTTATATCGCGAGCCGACTGATTGTGGTTCTCATACTTAGTCCTGCTTCAGCCGACACCCGCGGCGGCGCGAGTGTACGATACAATACATTTTGACACGACTCATTACAAACAGAATTCCATAATATTTTTATGAATTAAATATTGTTGTATCAAAGCTTAGTGCTTTCGCGTTACATGTCCGTGTAGAGGGCGCCGCGCCGCGACCACGTGTCGTGACATTGTCTGTACAATATGGCGACACGGGCTCGCACTCGCATGCTCGGTAGCGTAAGTTTTGTATTTATTTCTATGTATAAGTGCTAAATGTATTGTGTAATGTGTGAGGGAACTGTTCGTACGTGTTTGCAGAAATAGTATTTGTTCCGACTACGCGATGTAAGAGCTAGTCAGATGTTGATGTAACGAGTTGTTCGGTTGAAATCTCATGATGAATCTGTTTGGTTACTAAATATATATATATACTGTACGTTGTAGGGGTGTGGAGTGCACGGCCTCACGATCTCCTAGAATACTATTTCAGTGAACATGCGTGTGTTGTCTGCGCCGGCGCAGGGCGGGGTGTGTGGGTATATATGGGGGCGCTTCACTCAGTAGCCGGTAGTTGTCACGTCTTGTATGTTACGCGCCTCGAGTCTCTGACTGCCATCACGCACACTACATTATTATAACACATTTCTTGCAGTTACTATTGAATTTCCAGTAACCCATTGGTACCTTAGTCGTTTATACTCCCAGTGAGACGATGGCAGTCAGAAACTCGAAGCTACTATATAAATGTAATGCTAAGTTTTGTATGCAATAAAGTCTGATATTTTTAAATCTCCACGATTTACTTTTTATATTGGATTGTCGATCTGTTCCTCGGTCTGTTCGCCTCACCTGCTTGTGTACTGTGGATGTTTCTCTATGTCGCCTGGTGAGTGATGCAGTTGAGATGATGTCTCGTGGTGAACAGCTGGGCTGGTCAGTAGAACGAGTGCCGAGGTATATAGTACTGTAACCTCGGCCCTGTTTGATGCCATTACGATTTGTTTTGTCCACTTAGTGCAACGCACGCGTAGCAATAACATATTTAGCATAATATACTGTTCCGGGGCAGGTGTGTATATCTAGCAGGTCCCCGACTGCCAACACGAAGTAATATTGTAAGTGGTTACTCAGTAGCTACTACTCTGTCTCTCCTCTGTAGCCCGTCACATGCCGATAGCAACTGTCCGAGATAGGCTTAAACTTTTATAATTATGGTTTCACAGTTACTGTCGACAGATGGCGGTGTTTCAAGAACTATATTCCTATGTACTTGTAATGTCTATAAGCTAGTTACTTTAGTTCACAAATGTATGGATTATGTACCTACGTGTATGTATGTATATCGAAGTCACAGGAACAAAATGATTGATATAAAGCAGGAAATATACAGATTTGCAAAATGATGCGTATTATTTACTACTACCGTTACAACTGACAGTAGTTCGATTACAAAGTATTTTGTCTCTGTTTATATCACACCCATGGATGTGGTTTGATAAATATTTTGTTTAGTAAAAGGTTTTTCAATTCAGTAAGATTACTATACCAGTATTCGACATAATTTACAGACGGTCTTGTAACTCTTCTCTAAATTTATAAATTAATTGAACTCGCTCTAGATTGCATTACATTGCACCAAGTATGGACTAATTACCTCTGATTAGGGTAAGTAACTTAAATATCGAGTAATTGAGCATGGTACAATATAATCAATAACAATCTAATGCATGTTGACTGTAGGTAGCACCAACAGATTTTTTAAATACATTAGTGTAGATAGAAAGTTTCGCATTTAATGAATTAAAGATAGATTTCAACTTTTTAGAATTAGTTATTTCATTTCAGTAGATAACACATTATTGAATTCGCTTCTTTATATTTTTTCTTTACAATCTGTTTTTCTTTCTCCCGTATAAATGTGAGTGTACAACTCCAGGCGTTCCTGACGTTGATCCGGCAAATGTCGCGACAGAAGAAAGGTCTGGCTGCTGAGGAGGAACAAGAGGAGGTCAAGAAGAGAGGGCCTTGCTGTATTGTGTGCTAGCTGGTCTCCACAACACTCACTAGAGGGCGCCTGTAGGAAGATATCTAGGTGTACCTGAGGCACATATCTGATAGAACTGGACAATCATCATCAGCTGGACGGCATGTTATACACGCACAATATCCTACATCATCCTTATCATGTCCTTTGCTGGACTAGAGGTGCATGTGCTCTCAACCAGTTTGCTAAAAGGCGTTTCATTGAGCAAGCTGAACGCGATCGAACGCGATTCAGATATGACTGAGCATGCTAATTTTGAGCAATATTCCAACACACATATTACTAGGTGCATAGTGCTCAATTGAAGCATGCTTTCTTGCTTGAACTAGATTGTGTAACAGTACCCTGAGAGCTTCTCCTTGCAAGGAATATCAGCTCTAGATTATGTATAAAATGTGCCATGTCATAATTGCGCCATTACTTTATAACCATTTAATTTTGAAACTTTATTCCTTTAGACTTCAACTTTGTATTACAAAAGACCTACACAGCGGAACTGTGATAAGTGATAAACTTAATGTCGATGCCCGGGTAACGCTTAACGTCCATACCAACGACACTGCCACTTTTTCTATATATTTATGTATGTTGTAAAGGACTTTCAAATATTGTAATAATATTTTCTGGTGATAAACGGACTGCCTCGCTAGACAAACAGCAGTGTGATATGAATGTGATATCGAACGATAATCTCATATCCCTCAACAATTCATTAAACTAATATATTTATTGCGCATATAACGTTTCAAAACTTGTTGATTTTCTATACATTCCACGAAATAAGTTATTAATGATGTAAGTTAACTTTTAGACCTATTTAACGAGAGTCGGTGTCCCATATTTGTGAGTGACGCCACCTATCATGTATATCATTTATTTAGCCGCATTATTGAGGTGCGTTGATATTGTATAGATGTGATATTTTAGCAAACACCTCGCGGAGTGTACGACATGCTTGTGCCAACCCGTTTAGAAACTAATTATATGACCGCGAGAGGGGTACAAATGGATATTTTAAACTAAATAGTTACCTACTTCTCAAACCGATTACAAATCCACTAGGTTTTTCTCCTCTCGCGTTTCTTAAGGCTGTCTTGCCAAACCAGCTTATACATAGTTACTCGATTATTATGAATATTTCTGTAAATAATAATTTATTATGATAATGTAATAAAACTATTGTGTAAAAAGTATCGTTTATTATTTATTTTATTTTATAATTATAAAAATATACAAGATTATTATTAAATCAGTCTATGAATATATATTGATTCTTGTCATTCGTAACTATTTACATTAAAACGAAAATATAAACAAATCAACATCATAAAATATGCGTTTATAAAGTTATCGCTTATTGGTATACCTTCTAGAGAATATAATTATACATTTTGAAAAACAAATTAAGTACTACAGGTAATGTATGAGTATGTTCAGTACGTATTATGTTGCCGTCATTGTTAAGCAAGTTGTCTTTTTATAGGAAATCCTCCGAATCATTGGTTAAAACTTCGAGGTTTTATGTTACAAATGAATTTTGTTGTGTTTAACCTTATTGCCTTGGCAACAAAATTCATTGAAAATAGTTTGTGTTATATGTTGTTCATTACTAGCAGGTCTTTATAACAACGACTAGAGATATCGACTAGGCGTTACTTTGTATTCAACAGATTTAACAAACTGGACATAAATTTATTACAGAGCTGCTTTCATGACGCAATACTTTTTGTGATGTTTCTTAATTTTAGAGAATGATTATAGGTTTGTTCTTAAAAGTTAATATGTAGGAACGAGTTGCGATCGTAGCGGCTGGAAGCTATGCGTAGATTGCGTCCGCAGCGGTGACGCGAGCTGGCAACGAAGCACCCCGCGCAGGGTCAGGCCAGCTGGCAACCACGCCACGCCAGGTGGCCGCCGTGGCCGCAGCCCTGGCACCAGGCGTACAGCCGCGCAGCGTCAGGCCAGCTGGCAGCGGTGCGCGCAGCCGGCGGGGCACAGCTGGTGCGCGTGCAGCCAGGCGCGCATGTGCGCCAGGTGGCCGCCGTGGCCGCAGCCCTGGCACCAGGCGTACAGCCCGCGCACGACGCGGCGGCACACGGCGCAGACGGCGGCGCCGCCCGCGCCCGCGCAGTCGCAGGCCGCGCGGCGCCAGCGCCGCCCGCAGCGGCCGCAGCACAGCGCCACGCTGGTGGACTGCTGCGACACCACCCACACGGAGCTGATCCACGCGCTGCGCACCACCTGCACCGCCACTCATTACTAGCGCGCCCCCCGGCGGCGCCGCCCGCCCGCCCCCCGCCGCCTACCTCGGTGGCGATGTTCCACAGCTTGTGGCGCTGCAGCAGCTCGATGTACCCGAGCAGCCAGTGCTCCTGCAGACTCTCCTCGATGTACGGGAACAGGTCGCTCCTGTACACACACGGACATAGGACAGGTGGTGTCTAGCTACCTGTTACTATATATACACAGAAATATTAAAAAAGGAGAAGTGGCAAGGGGGCGTGTCGCTGTCGCTCGCAATTGAGCGCTCCGCTCAATGTACGAAAATATGGCCGCAACCACGAGTTAGTCTGTTGTCAGCCGCGATCGTACAACAAACAATAAAATGCCGCCTTGTGGAGTGGTTTCGTGCAGAAATATAAGCCAAAACAAAAACTGTGGAAGTCATGGCATCGGTTGCCATGTGTAAGTACAAATATTTACATTATTTATCTTAAAAATCACGAAAAACAACAAGTTAGTACTTTATTTTTATTTTTCTATATTACTCCGACTGTATTATGTCTACATTAATACATTGCTCTTTTACTACCACCCTAGTGTGACACTGAGTAACTAAACCAGCAATGTAAAAGTGACTCAACGAAACGCTCATCAAGACGTGACGTCACATGGTGCGTCCGCTGCTCAAGTCCGTATTTGAGTGAGATAGTAATGGTCGTGGAGATTTATCAGAGTTTATCGACAAGAAAGTCGAGTACAAATAGTTATATTCGTTCACTTGTTATGGTTATAGTATTTTACTTTAATTTTCATAAATGAACCATTAGATTAGTGTGCATTATAATGATCAGCGTCGCATAGTTAATTTTGTACTCACAGAGCAGTCTCCAATGAATAACCTCATAATATTATTAATAAAAGCAGTCAAGGAAAAATATACAACATTGAAACTTCATTAATTAACCAAGAATGCGATACCTCCTTATTCAAATTATATCATTATAACTACAAACAACTTGTCGTTTGATTTTTAATATTTTTTAAAATAAAATAATTTTAATAATTAAATGATATTTTGTTGGTTTTGTGTCGTTTTTACTTTATTTCCAAAATTTGTAACAAATTTTCCGGTACATTCATCTGGAGCTATCGATATCGTCAAGTCACTACGGCGACGCTCCTAACACACAGGGACAAATTATTTTAGTGTGAGTAAATCATACGAGAATGTGCGCTGTCGTTTAAAGAATAAGGCTTATATTTGAATTACTGAGTTATCGATGCCGCGTGTGTGCACTTATTCGTAGTATTGTTTTGTCAGAGCTGTGTGTGTAGTATTAGTTTTATGGAGGGGCAGTTGTGGCTTCACAGGCTTTGCGTACATTTTTGACTCCACACCATATCTCCTTCTTTAATATATCTGTGTATGTATAGCTAGGTGACAATATACCGGTGGTCCTGCAACACCAGCATCACTACTGCAGGTGTCTGCACGTCCCCCAGGTCTGCATGTTGCCGCAGTGCCGCGGCCAGTAGTGGGGCCACGTCCAGCTGTGGGCTGCGATTGTCTCCCACTCGGATGGCCAGCCCACCATCACAACCCTCTCCACCCTCCTCCATCTGGGATACCTCACTAATACTGTACTATCCTGACAACTACAATTCTAATTAAATTCGTAATGAATAACTAAGCAAGATGAGGTATCTGTACACACCCATCTGTAAACAACTATTTGTACTTTGATTCTAAGTACAATCAGTTTTGAATACTTAATATACTTCGACAAATCGTTTGATATCGTCAAAATAGTAAAGAGATTATAGATATGATTGGCCGTGTAAGGTTGACGCGAATGTCGACATTATGTTAAAATTCAAATACTTGTCTTAGAACATTAATCAAAGTTCAAAAAGATAACAATTTTTCTTATGATCAACTTACATGCATGTTACTGTGATGATACCCGGAGTGTTCGAGGTTGGGTGGCGCGGTGCAGGCGGACCCGTTGGACCCCGTGGACCCGCTGGACCCGCTGCCCGGGGACGAGCTGCCCCCCGGGGAGGTTCCCCCGCCACCCCCACTGCTGCGGTGCACTGTACGATACACGAACATTTATTAACTTTATACTCCAGCTGCAAACGCCTGTGTAAAATAAAACCTGCAGTGACCTGTGAGGTCCTTGTCATCGTGGCGCAGTGCGTGCGGGGGCGCGGGGGGGGCGGGGCTGGCGTGCGCCCCCAGTGCGTGCGGGGGCGGGGGCGCGCTGCGAAGAGGGAATGCCTCCTCGGGCAGACTCCAGTCTGCTGCGTCTACATCCACGTAGTGAGCCGATGCGGCCGACACCCAGCCTGAGTTCTCTGCACCATCACAGATCACAAGTAATTAGGAATTCATCCGATACGGATAGTTACCAATATAATACATTTCACAATGTCGAACTATAGTGTGAACATTGGCTCACCATCGTCCAGCGAGCGCGCGTGTTTGGACGGCTTGCTGGGCGGTATGTAGATACTGAGCGTGGGCTTGCCTAGCACCCCACTGTTGTGGAACTGAGTCTCTGCCCACTCCTCCACTTCCTCCAGTGGCTCCTCCTCCACTGCGCTACTGGAGAATGCATTATATGCATTACGAGGTTCGTAAAAAATTAATATCAAACGTGTTATGATTGATATTCATAGGTTAAGTATAGCTTTCAACGAAAGGTTACTAAAATGCAACGTTATTAAGAAAGTATATTAAAGTATTAAAGAACTTGTAACATTTTAGAAGTGTGAGACAGTTAGTAGGATGCAGAGAGTGTGTGACTCACTTGTAGGTGTGCGTGTAGGGCGGCAGGGGCGGGGGCTCGGGGCGGGGCGGCTCCGTGCTGCGCGCCGGCGCCGGGCTGCCACGCCCCGCCGCGCGCGCCGCGTACACGCAGCGGACCACCTCCCACACGTGCTGCGCCTGCGCACGAGCGCGCGTCAGCCCGACTCACAAGTACGTCATACAAACGAGCAGTACAGAATACACACCATGTGTCGGTTGTTGGCGCGCGCGACGGTGGCGTTGTGTTCCGCGAGGACGTGCGGGGGCGCGCCCCGCATGCGGTAGTGCGCCGCGCACTGCAGCAGCGCGTTGTGCGGGGGCGCGCTGTAGCGGAGCAGGGTGGAGGCCGCGCCCCCGGGGAAGGCGCGCTCCAGCGCGGCCTGCGCCCCCGCCGACAGAGAGCCCGCCGTCGGCTGCTTGCGTCTGTACAGATCGTGAAGTTATCGCGAGTCGGGTTCTGATTGTAATTCGTGGCGTCGTAAAGCGTGTCCCTCCGAATTACCCGAGGCCGGGCACGAGCCGCTCGAGGCGCGCGGCGCGCGCGGGCAGGGCGGGCAGCGGGCGCTCGGGCGCGGCGTGCGCGAGGTCTCCGCGCGCCGACACGCACACGCCGTGCGGGTTGGCCCACAGCACGGGGTGCGCCGCCTCGCTGAACCGGTGCCGGTACAGGCTGCAGTCCTGGACAACACTCTCCGACTGTCAATCTTTCCCTTCCATAACACCAGCAAAGCATTGTCGAACTGTCAGTTTGTTTGTCGCAAAAGAACAGCTATACGTTAACGGTCAAACTGTGCAAAACCAAGGCGAATTTCTCACGTCACAAGCTAGTGACCCTTATGTTTTACATGTTTTATGGCCTGGCCTTCCTTGATAAATGCATTATCCAACACAAAAAAATTTTATTTAAATTGAAATAGCGTTGCTGAGGTTCGCGCGTTTAAACAAACAAACTGTAAATATTTAAATTTGCATTACTATGCAAATAAGTTATATTACAATTATAATTAAGTTAAAGATACAGATTGCGCGGGCGCAGTACGCACCCTGCTGGTGGACAGGAAGGTGTGTGGCTGCGCGAGCCAGGCGATGGCGGTGGTGACGTCGCGGTGCTCGGCGAAGGTGGCCAGCGGCACGTGCGGGCGCCGCACGTCCCACACGTGCACGGCGCAGTCCAGCACCAGCGCGCACGACGCCACCTGGTAGCTGCGCCCAGAACCAACCGTCTTGAACACTTCGTTCTTTCTCAGTACCGACTCTCCACAAAACGGTCAATGTCATGGAACAACTCCCCATCACAACTCATTCAAAGTTGTAATATAACAGAAAAAATTACAACTACTCTCTTTATATTTACAACACCTGTAACAGCTAAATATTGTCTTAAATAAGCTATAAATATTTTAAACAATTTTCTTCACATACGTTTTCTGTGGCCTCCACTTGACATGTCCGACGGATGCTATGGTGTAGATGGTGTGCTCCAGATTCGGTTTTGCTAAAATGTCCCACACCTGTAAATATATTTCAATTCAAAGAATATTTTTTAATTTCTAGATTGCACTACTGGCAAAATTATGTCTTGTTTGGCAAAAGTTTAGTAGGGCACACAACACTTTACTTTAAATAATGTGCAAATATACTATACTTTAGCTGAAAAAGAAGGTTTACATATATATATATTAAAGGAGTAATTATAAATATTTAGTATGCATCACATATCATTTAATCATGTCCAACAGATAGAAAATAACAGTATATCTATGGTTAGCAACTAAGTTCCCGCGCAGTCCTTGCGATGATGTCAGTGCTCCATATGTACACGCGCGCCGCGCAGATAACGTCTAGACTAGACACAGTTGTTGGCTAATGAAGTAATTAAGTGTGCACCACTGCGTTAGGGCTACTACAGCTCTTAGAAAGACTTGAACATCGATATGAACTACATAGTATTTGAATTTTCTTAATTAACTGCCCGCCATTGTAAAAAGATCTTAATTTTAAACAGAAATTGGTGCTCGATCGTGTTTAAATAGATTTTCAAATATAACTTGTAACGTTTTACATAAACATTAATGACCTGCAGTCTGCAGTTGTATTTGCATTGAGCATGAACTGACACGTAAATCGTGTCTGGCTTTGATTTTATTCATAACATATTCAAGTTCATATAATCAATCAATTATTTATTTATTCTACCAAATTACGGAAAATAGATGACAAAACACTGTCCTCTTTTTAAAATTGGTTAATAAATAATAATATGTAAACAAATATTATGCAACCATATCTGCAACAAGCAGTGATGTAAGTGATGTAACAGGACAGTAACATTACAATAACTGTGTAACTCGCAGTCAAACTATTGACATTTGTACATCGGCCGCGATATCTCGCGACCCACTTGTTTATCTAATAGACTGCGATAGTCAGACAGACATAACCTTTTGTTAATAGCATATAGACATGCACCTGTTTTGTCCATAATTGAAGTAACAACAAATAAATGAGTACATTTTTCTTACTAAATAAATAAGTTGCAAATGTTTGTTTGACCATGAACTAGCTTCTAATTGTGTTATATTGAATCCTGAAGAAATCCGTTAGCTCCTGGAATTTGTACCTATTAGATCCCTATTTCAATTGTTTCGCTTGAAAATGATATAGGCTAGGAGATTGCTATATGTACAGACACAGCAAGTATTTTAATGGATATTCAACCTTATTTTTTTTATAATATAACATTAATACGTAAACTAATTGAAGAACATAACTATAACAGTTGAGATATAAACATTACCTTAATAGTTTTATCCCTGGAAGCAGTAGCGAGCCAGGGCTGCTCAGGATGCCAGTCGCATGCGAAGACAGGCCCGGAGTGCGCCGTGAACTGCATGAGGCAGCGCTCGTGGCGGCGCACGTCCCACAGCTGGACGTTCCCGTTCTCGGACACGGCCGCGAACGTGTGCGCCTGGTGCGGGCTGAACTGCACGTCGCGGATCGACTCCGTGTTGCTGCAGCCAATTATACAACTCAACTTAGGAATTTGACGTCAGACTAAAACGGTGTAAAATATGGCTGCAACACATGTTCCATCCAGTTGTAAGACTTTTTATTCCCAAAAAGAAAGAAATAAGAGTTCCATCAATCCAAATCCAAAAATATGTTAAGTATTTTTCCATTTGTTACTGAAATCAATCAAAAAACCTAGAATTTGTTTTTATATTCAGTAATTCTCCTCTGTAAACCTTACCTTATAAAAGTCCTGGCTACTTCCTTCATGCGCAGGTCGAAGCACTTCATCATGCCATCTTGTGAGCCAGATATCAGCAGAGCTGGCTCTGTCAGGTGGAAGCTCACCTGGATAACATCAAAATATGGTAATTCAACAGACAGACAACATTGCCTGCTATCTTGATTTTAGAGGAGTCCATATTAAATGTAAAATTCATGTTTTCGTTGTGATTAACACAAAAATTGCACTGTCAGTAATAATGTTGACAATATGATAACATGCTTCACATGCTATGAACCACTGCTGGGCACTAGTTGTGATTTCGACAATCACAGGTCAGTGTTCCAAATTCAGAGCATATCTACAAACATTTTTGCTCAAAATAGTATTAAATTAAAATCTTAATCACATAAGTAAATGATAATTTTTTAATCAACTATACTTGGTAGGGCTAAGAAATATTCTCATATTTCTTGCTACGAAGAAACTCAAAGCAATGAATAGCTTATGAACTTTTATCACTTTGTGATACAGTCCAAATTCTCTGTAGAAATGTCAGAAAAATGGAGTATGTACCTTGTTAACAGTCCTCTTATGATCAGAGAAGACATGTTCCTGCTTGGAGCGGCCGGAGCGGCCCAGGTTCCATACCACCACTGCTCCATTGGTAGCTGCAGTCGCAAGTGTGTTCTCTGCAAGATCATAGTTATTATGATTTCTTCATAATATTATCAAGAACTATAAAGAAGTTAAAAAGATCAAAAAGTTAGCTGACCTTTATTGTTTAAGGGTTGATTTCTCAATCAACAGTTAATTCTTAACTAAACATAGAAAAAAATTGACAGTTGACAGTTGTAGTATGGAAAAAAAGTTATTCCTCTAACAAAATTAATCTGTCAAACACCAAGCGGTCACCGGTGACCGCGACCTATTGTTCTTTAATTGTGTCTATAAAACCGGTACTCGACGAGTTAACTAAGCATTAAAAAATCGGCCTAAATATAAAATGACTCACTCAAACTCGAACTGACTCACTCAAACCTAATTATAAGAAATAAGTATTATTTCAAAATGTATATTCTATATATGTTGAGACAGAAACTTCATCAAAGTGCTTATCAGTTGTTGGTAGCAAAACAATTGTAATTTACCGGGGCATGACATTAGGTAAATCAAGTTTGTTACAGATATTAGCGATTGTTGTGTGATCAGACACATGCTACGATATAGGAAATTTGATTTAATTCAATATTACTTACCTTCAATAGTACTCCAAGCAACATCAATGGATGAAAAATTCAAATTTAAATTTTTCCCAACCCTCAAGTTACAAACTTCGGAGAAATCATTTTCTCCGATAGAAAATACTTTGAATACTGAAAGACAAAGTGAAATAGATAAAATCAGCAAAGTTTAAATAACAAAGTTAGGTAGCAGAATTTAAAAAAGTTACCATTGCGTCCAGCAATCACCACTTGTGAACAATCTTTATTGAGAGCCAATGCGTTTGCCGGCCCCTCCTGGGACACGCATATAGTATTCGACGGTATCATTATTATTAAACTTTATATCAAATCTATCAAAACAATATTTCAAACTGTATAATAAACATACAATTCGCATGATCGGTACTAAGAAAACTAGGGAATCTACACCGTCTAAAAAACAGAAAGGTGATAAGGATTTGAATCATTATATTCTTCGACACTATTAAAATTATAACAATTATGTTTATTTAATAATGTTTTGAGTTTTTTGAGGTTGCTTGTCAACTACAACAAACATGCAACAACACCAAACACATGAATGAAATACAAATTCCAAAGAGTATAATAAGTGACAAATTCTATATTCTTGCCTTGACAGCTTCAAACAACTGTCAGATTTGCATTATGGTCCGTTTCTGTATTTTTTTTTGGCTTTGGCATGCCTTTGCCATGCTAGTTATATACCAAGTTTATAAATAAATGATACGTGAAACTTGTGCATAAAATAGATACAAATGCAAATTTGGATTTTTATAAATAGTTATGACTCTACATCTAACTTGAAGTTGTAAATCAAAACAATGATTGTACTTTTTTGAATCTGCATGAACAAAGATTCATTTAATTCATTAAAAAATTAAAGTGTCAGATTTTGGCCGTCAACTGGAGGTTTTCATATTCCATGGATTTTTTCTAAAAAAAACGCAATAACAGCGTGTTAGTCGCATAAATAATTTCGATAATGTTCTGAACACATAAAACTGTTATTATGTGAAGCAAAGTGAGAGTATCACTCATAAATTTTGGACGATGGATAGTGGAGACAGGATTTTGGTGGCCGCGGGGCTCACCGCCGCTGTAGTTGTCGGAGCCTTCGTTCTGTGGGGTCCTGGTGGGGCTCCGAAGGTGCGCAAAAGACGCGGACAGATCGCTGGCCTGCAGAACCTGGGAAGGACTTGCTTTCTCAATACATTGCTGCAGGCACTCGCCGCCTGTCCCACTTTCATTGAATGGCTCAAAAAGTATGCAAAGGCTGATGGGCACAACAGTATGATCACTACATTGTATACAGTCATTGAAGGTAATTATTTAACCATAATGTAACCTATTTGGAAAATATTTAAATATGTACAAGTGCTATCTCAACTACTATTATTAATATTTAATATTGGAACTGTTAAAAATCCTTGGTGTTTCACCACACACAAAGCATGAATAAAATATTGTCATGTCCTCTAGAGATTATCAATGGTGGTAATGCACCTTCTGTAAAATGTAAATACCTAGATAAAGGATGATTACATTTGGCCGGGGTTTGAAATAATGTTATAAATGTAAACAGACTCCATGGAGAGAGTAGTCCTCAGTTGAATCTAAATATACTATTGTTTCCCGAATGTTTCACAAATTGAAACATGTACCTGTTGCATGAATGTTGTGTGTTACATAAAATGGAACTAGTCTTTCATTACATAATATCATGCTTTATTATAAAATACAAGGTTTTCAATTTGTACGTAAAACATAGAAAATCTACTGCCTAACTAAACAACAGACTTGTAATTGATATGATATTTGACAGTTGATGTTGAGGTCCTTGCTCAACAGCTTTATTAGTCTTTTTCTCACAACTTGTATGTACACACAGTCGTAAATGGCACACATGAATCTGCCCGTGGCACTCCCGTATGTCCACTGGGAGTGCTGCAGGCGCTGCGTGCGGCTGGGTGGGTGGTGCCCGCAGACCAGCAAGATGCACATGAACTGCTGCATGTGTTACTGTCCTGCATCGAGGAAGAGACCAATAGCATGTCTAAAAAGGTACATTTAACATTTAATACATCAATGTTGTACAGTGTACACTATGCAAACTTAAATATTGTTTGATGTTTTAAGTTCCTGTAAAGTTCATTAGATGTCAATTAGTTTGCCCTTACCCTAATCTTATTATTGGCATATTCAATCTATTTTTATTAGTCAATCACGAATTAATTATTTTGAGTAGGTTTTCTTGCAGTTTTGTTTATTTACCGTCTCTGTAAGTGGCATATCTTTCCCTAGCCTGGCTGCCTGTCAGACGCGCTGGGTCTGGGCGGGAGTCGCGCGTGGTCTGCGCTGGCGTCCCCCGCATCCCCGCCCGCCGCGCCGCACCCGCTGCGCGCTGACTCCACGCCGCCCACTCCGTCCACGCTCTCTATAAGGCCTGCGTCGGCAGCACCTGCTGATGAACCAGACCTTATTGAGCCAGGTAACATGACTTCTCCTAACAGTATAATTGTTGCAACAAATATTTGTTTTCTGTAAATCTTTCTGCTTTTGGAGACATGGAGAGAGGCAAACTAAAAGATCCATATAAAAATTAAAAATATTTCCCTCATTTTGTAGAGCCAATGATGGAGCCCCCGCGCCTGACGAAGGGTGTGTCTCGTTCGCTGTGCCACCTGAGCTCGGTGGGGCGGCGCTGGGTGACGCCGGCGGTGGCGCGGCCCCCCCCCGCGCCCCCCTTCCGCGGCACCCTCGCCTCACGCCTGCAGTGCACTGTCTGCTCCCACAAGGTAACATTGTCAAACTTATAGACCCTATACTGAATAACCATGTAGCAGGAGTTGTTCCCTGAATAGAAGTATTTTTTCTAAGTACTTTAATATACAATGGTGTTCTCAGAGTCCGATCCGGTACGACAAGTTTGACAGCATCTCGTTGTCCATGGCCAACGCAAGTATTAGTGTCAACGGCGCATACAGTCTCGCGGGTAAGTTGCTTTGTGATAGTGATACGTAGCAACGTATGCATATTCAAAATATTTCAACATTGGATCTAATACCGTACAAGGAAATAATAACTTCGCTCTTATCAGACAGATAGTGGAAGTTTATAATCGTAATATGTGGATGTAGTTATGATAAATCTGTTTTCGAGTTAAAAAGACAAGGTTTCGTCATTTGCAAACCAATGTTAAAGTAGAAGTGAAGTTTTATTTAAGTACCTACGTACTTAGAATGTTCAGCGATATGTAGGTATGCTTAGCAAAGTATCAGTGAAGTGTATGCGCCCGGCAGGCCTGCTCCGTGCCTTCACTGCGCCGGAGATGGTGAAGGGCGTGCGCTGCAGCAAGTGTTGCCCCGACCCCGCGCCCTCCGCGCCCCCCGCCGACCCCGCGCACCCCGCCCCCGCCTCGGCGTACACCAAGCACATACGGACTGTTAGCTTCGGGAAGGTATGCATCTACATCTATTTTGAGCTGTAGTTGAATGTACAGTTGAAATTAAAGTTATAGCGACTAATGTGGTGGTTGACTGTCTCCAGCTGCCATACTGCCTGTGCCTGCACATCGGTCGCGTGGAGTGGCTGGGCGGAGCGCTGAACAAGCGCGGGGAGTTCGTGGCCTTCCCAGAGACACTCAACATGGCGCCCTACTCCGCCGTGCAGCAGCCCAAGGTACACTAATTAAGTACTGTATATAGTAATTTGTGCTTCTTTATACAAAACAGTTTTGGAACGAGCTGATGTTTCATGTGTCTGTTAAACAAATCTGAATCAGAATATTTTTATTTGTAAACATAGGTATGTGAGGTGTTACAGGTAGGTAGATTCTCCATGTTTATTGAGATGAGATTAATTCAACAGTTTGCTGCAGCATGATGATGGTTTGTTTGTTTGTATTCAGCAAGTGGACCTGCTGTCCCTGGTGGGCGAGGGCCGGCTCCGCGCGGGCCTGTCGGTGCTGTCGGCGGAGGGCGGGGCGGCGGGGGGCGAGGCCGCCGCGCTGTACCGGCTCAGCGCCGCCGTGCTACACGTCGGGGGCCCACGCTCCGGCCACTTCGCCACCTACCGACGCGGGAACGGGTTCGAGGCCAAGAGGTACGTTTACTCATAGGAAATCTTTAAATTATGATGAAATGAAAAACTTTATTTGAGTTACAATTTCGGCAATCGTTATGTTTGCTTTCCAGATGGTGGTACACATCGGATACGCTAGTACACGAGGTGTCCCTGCAGGAGGTGCTCCGATGCTCTGCCTACATGTTGTTCTACGAGCGCGTGCGGCCGGAGCCCGGGATGACTGCCTCGGCCAACTCGCACCACTTCTAGGCCACGCACGCGAGCCCGGACTCCAGGGTATCAGGAATATCGAATTTTACACCGGGCTCCACACTATCCAGACCTTCTAATCTGGTCTTATATGTCCTGAAGCTGGACGATGCAGGCCTAGAGTCTAGCAAATGATGCTTAGATCTTCATTTTCGAGATATTGTAGCTTCCACCTTCATTACAACTAGACCAGGGCACTACTATCGTTTCATAGTGATATCTAATGTGAGCAGCGAAACTTATTTCTAAAACTACATGTCTGATCTGTAGTTAGAATGGCAACTTAGTACTTATAGATTTTGTGTCGCATTCTCGTTATATTGCTCTGAATTATTGCTCACAGCACGCGCAAATAGGGAGCTACACTGTCTCGAAAATGAGATCATTGTCATCATTGCAGCATTAAAAATAACATTTGATTAAAAAGTTTAACTTTGAAAATTTTGGCTGTGCCCTAATCAATTTTATGGAACTCACTCACGTAAATAGTTATGTAACGTAACTTAAACCACATAAAGCTCACATTTGATTAAAATCAGTATTAGTTATAAGTCTGTTTTTCGAATTCATATGTTACATAGTACCCATGTACACTGGCGAGAATATCATGAAATATGTTCCTCTACTGATTGGAATATATTGGTGTTAACCAAAGAAAATGTCTATTTACAGTAAATTATCAACATCTTAAGCTTTTGTGTGAAGATCTCATATTGTCATATCCAAGTATACATTTATAAACAGTACTAATGTCTTGTAACTCACTAACTCATACATACTTAGTCTCGCACAACGACGCTACATATCTAAACCGGTGATGTATTTATGTGACGGTAATGACTTTGGGACATTAGTGGTATATGAACTATGTATTTATCAATCAGTTATATAATCATGAAACACTATTCTTAGTGCATATAAATAATAGCTATAAAACTTGTCACTTTTCATGTATTTCATTGGTGTGTTTCATGATATACAGCTTTCTCGAATATTAAACCTAAATGTGTTGCAAGTATCAGAGATAGGGCAGTCTGTCCCAAGTCAAAGTCAATACTGTCAATAGTAGACTGTAGTGTGCTGGGCTAACAAAAAATATGTACATATATACTTCTCGAGTTTGCAACACTGAATAACAAATACGGAAACGTTTTCATACATTATATTAAAGGAATAGTATCTAGGAGTCTGGGACATGTTCTTATATCGTACCGACGGCTACCCAGCACACTACGGTGTCTAGGAACCTTTATCTTTACGCAGAGTCTATTTTTCCACTCGGTACCGCCACTTGTTTTCGGCGGAAATTTAACGTTTTTGTACAAATCTACACGAGTTAGAGCTGCCTTGATAAGTAGCACTTTCTTCCTATAATAGTAGGTATTGCGTACGAGCTTGCGTATGAAACTTGTGTCCGTAGGTAAGACTTACTTACCTACTTCTAAAATGACTGGCTAGAGCCATGACGTGGTTTGGTCGACTTTTGTATATTCTTTAAAACTTTGCTCCTGTGGAAGTTATATTTACCGGTGTACTGCTACTAATTGAAAGCTATATTCTGTATAAATAAATATGTAGTTAGGCCATACAATGTAATAGAATATCTAGAAACGACGTAAATTAACTAACTTGTGATCTTCGTGTGATGTTTCGAGTTTCGACACCTGTGTGCCATCGACATTGAGTGATATTTCAAGCTCTCGCTTCTCTCTCTGTGTATTTATACTGATAACATACATAACTACACTGTAATGTACAACAGTTTGTTTGTTTGTCTCTGTCAAATGGCTTGAACTTGCCAAACAAAACATCATTTTAATAGTAATTATGTCGATGTTATGGTAAACTATTGTTCCTCCGATAATTGTCTCGACTTATCATGACTTTACATAATTCTATCGTTTATGAAATCGCCCGCCATTACAGATAACACTCCCGAATAAAAATAGATAACGGAATTCATCTTCACTTTATTGCAACATATTAAGTAAAACTATTGTTAGGCCTTCCTTTTCCCTTGTCTTCAGGGTTGTCCTGACTCTTTAGCTTGATATGAACATATTTACTACTTGACTGCTTAGTTTTGTGAAGTATCATAATATAACTGTTTTGTAATTTTGTCGTCCAACCTTTGATGTAACTTAGGACTATAATAGAGAGAAGTGTATCTTTCTTACTGAGCATTCTTCTCACCACGCAGTACGCGCTAGGTCCAATATGTAAGCAAACAATTCTCGGTCTGAGAGCCATGACTTACCGCATTCTTAGCATGTACTTACTGATGCATTTATATTTTACAATAATGACGTGTCCACTCGTGTCCTTCCTGTATATAATTATAATGTTATTGTAATGATTCTCTTGAAAATCTAATTTTCTAATTACCTATAACACTCGTTTTGTAAATTAACATTTTTGGAGGCTAAAGTCCACTTGTGGCAGATTTTGAATAGTGGTGAGAGGGAACATTGGTGCCTAAATTGTGGCCATTTGTGACAATGACTGAGCAGCGTTGCCATTTGTATTGTTATACGCATAAACATAGCTTTAGATGGTACTTATTTATGTTTTGACTACTGTAGGCTCGATGCGGTTATTTGGTGCAGTAATACTTGGTGGTTCATATTAGTTGCCATATTTGAAAGATTTATTGTGGTTTAGAAAACGCTTTTAATTTATGGATGTTGTGCCACGAGCTACACAAATAATTATGTTTTATGTAACATGATATAAATTGTAAATATAAAAATTATATTTGTGTATATCATTTATGAATATTTCAACAACAGAAACAAAGCTTTGTGTTGATATACAATATTTGTGAGTTTATTATTGTTGTTGAAATTAGTTGTAATGTGCTGTTTAGTACTAAGAACTGTTTTGAGCCCACTCAGTATGAGTCATACTTTATAATATTTCAGTTTAGTATACCATGTTGTGCAATCATATAATATTTCGCAATGAAATTATTTACTTGCATGATTGTCTTCATTTATGTCAATAAATTTCTTTTGAATTAGGTATGTCACAAGTTTTGCAACATCTGAAGACATTGTAGTATGTAATTTGAAAGTCATCCAAGTAATTTTGTATGAAGCAGTGTATTCCTGTGATGGTTGCACAATGTTATATTGCACAACATACAAGTATGAGGACTCAAACCTGAGTGAATCAGTACTATTGAAACTGATTTTTTGAGCTTGAGGACTTGGATTGTAGTGTACTGGGAAATATATTTCATACCTGTGAGAAATTAATACAAGTTTAGTAAATAGCATTATAATGGTATTTAAAATAATAAATTTCCCAAGTACACTGCACTTGTTTAATCAGAATTGTTAGAGAATTATGTAAACTTATGTTGAAGTTTAACTTTAGGATATTGCTTGGCATAATATTTTGTTACGGTTTAGTTAGTGTTGGCAACCATTGAACTTCCAGAGACATGTGGCAACTGTAGATAGAATGGATTGTATCTAACAAAATGTTTATAAATAAAATGTATTATAAGTGGCCTTGTGTTACTGTTATTGCAGCACATCCCCTTCCTGAGTAATTACATACAGCTATTTCACTTGTTTACCCAACTCTTGTTTGTATCGGTTCAGGTTTTGCAGTAAATTATTTATTAAAATCAAATCAGAATGGGTTTATAAATATTCCAATAAGAATTTCAATGTACTTGTGTGTTAATATTAATAAAAAAGAATTCATATTATCCAAAATTTATTTTTAATGTTTACAAATAAAACAGACAACATTCAATTCAAGGCTCATTGGTTTGGTATGACATCTGATCAATGAGTTGTAATTTCTGTGCACAGTGGGTCGGAATTTACACAAATAATATCACAAACAGTCTGGTCTACCAATAATTCGATGTTAGGACATGCTGTCAATGAGGGATGCTCGCATAGTTGATGTGATGGCTGTGGGCTTAGCATCGTTCAGCTTGAACACACTTTCTATAACTGAGATTTCTGTTGATGTTGTGTCTAAGCCACAGAATGCACACCAGTCGTTGACCACCATTCCTGCAGCAATGACGTCACTACCTCTGTTTACTGTGCCCGCCACTAGTGGTACTTGCAGCAGAGATGACAATTCATCCTGGTCTTGAATAGTGGTCTTGGGATGAACGAGCCCGCCTCGATTACTGAGCGCAGCGTACGATCCGACTAAAACATTACCTGCGACTGTTTGTCTGAACACTTCCACATCCAATGTGTCTGCGAGTATTTCCTCTGTGTCTCGGTCCAGGTCTGGGTGAACGAGTGCCACATAGTCGTTGCAGGCAATAACGTTTCCGAGTGCACTGAGTCGTTCTTCCACCCGCTGCACTTTGACAGCGTCCGGTAAACTGTTTCTAATATGTTGCAACTCTGTGTCTGTAGTCGATGATGGTACCAGAAGTCCATTTTTGTTTCCAACCGTCATACGGCCAATGATCCTGCACCCTGCAATACTCACATGCACTACAGGTATGGTTTCAGACAATTCTGCCTCGAACACGCTGTAAAAGTTTTCCGATCCACCGATTGCGACAAGGCAATAAGAATTTGTCAATTTGCTGAACACTCCTACTTCATTATTATTTTCAAATTGGACGCGTACTGCCATGATTTTGTCTTATACGAACTTTATTTGCAATTACAAAGTATTTCACAACAATTGAGCTTCACGTGGGAGAAAAGAAAAATACGGGATCTTCGATTTGTGGTTACATTTACGTCACTTTGACAAGTGTATTACGATTTTATTTAGTTCTAATTGTGTTTCATTTTTTTTACAAGTAATTTAAACATTATTGTACGCCGTCTCTGTCATTCGTAACACAAACAGTATAATGCTATCTTTTTCTTTGTTTGAGAACGAGTGCTGTGTGAATTCGGGAAACGAAACGCTGTTCGTGGTTATAGATAGGAGTAATGGATGTGTTCGGAACTCGGAATTTTAAAAAAGGTTCATAATGAATGCGTTCTGAGTAATAAAAATATTATAGTCAGAAATCCATCAGAAATTATAAGAATCTTTTTTGAAATACCTACTTCTGAAAAAATAAAAATATTTGTAATATTGACAAAATCCATGAGTATTGCCATCCCTGACATGACCTGTTAAAGTTAAAAATGGATGAAATTATGTAATTTAGTGTTTCGTTATTACAAAATTAAAAGTATGATTATGATTCGCGATGAAGATGAAAGATGCGGAAATTAGTAACATTCAATTTAACTGATTGCAATGATACGGAGTTCCCAAGTGATGCTATTCAAAACTTGAGGCAGGCTGTAATTGTTCCAATTGCTTACAAGCCGAAGATCCAACAAGCTTTGCAAAGAGTCGATTTTCAATATCATAGAAGTTGTAGTTACTCGAATCTCTTACGGGTATAAGTATATTAGTTTGATATAAGTAAACGTTGTAATAATGGCCTTTTAGAAAATCGTGTTTCTAGTAAAGTTTTTTGTTAAGATTGCAATATGTACTTATAGGTAGGTACTTACAGAATCGTTATTCTTCAAATTTATATTTTTACCTCTTGTACACTGTTCTCTTGTCCTCTTGTACTTTTTGTACCTACTATACTTTATCATCAAACAAAGAAAATGATTTTTTTATTCAGGAGTGTAATGTTGGCGAAGGGGAGACCCTGTTGATGTTCTGGGGCTACGAACGCTCTGACAGCAGGGTTACTATGAGCATGTCCGCCTCTAGCTGCTCCTCGTTGCACACACCGGTAAGAAGTGGATTTCTGTTTACTCGCGAACATTAGTTACTTAAGTAGGTAAATGCTTTATTTAGCCATTGTTTCATGTTTGTTGTTTTACTGTCCTTATTTCCAGACAAATACACCTAGCAGCCAGAGAGATAAGGAACTGCGTTCAACCGCCCAACAGACTGATATAAGCTGTCGGTACTCCCCCGGCATCTCTTCACCAGGTACTTGTGCAGCTTGTGGCTTATATAAAACCGTGTATTTAATTAATACAATTATCTATTAAAATTTTATGTGAAAAACTGCCTCATTGATTTAATGATCGCAAATGCCATTGGCGCCACTGCTAAATGGTCTCGAGTTCGATTCCCGTGTCGGGCAAAGTATTAAGGGCGATTTGCACGATACCCAGTTTTGTACAACAGGCTACTTGCTTGAACAAAATACGACAGATTAAAAAAAACCGACTTCAAAAACTAAAGACAAACGAAAAGTAAAAACTAAAAAGGAAAAAAATAACCCAAACACGACTATTAATCGTTGAGGAGTTCCCTCAACTACCGTACTACTTCATCATCAGACTCTTATTGATAATTACACCCTACCTAGGTGTAAAGTCCCCATCAATACAAATTAATCAAACACAAGGTAGCTACTGTTACCCGTTAAGGAGTTCCCTCGACTGGCTCTCGGCTCTATCATCAGATCGACTCCAGACCTTTATCAGATGGTAGTGGGTTTTAATACTTAATAAAAAAATTAACAAATGCACCAGTCGCCCCTATAATTTTTAAAAGTTTCCCCTCGGTTTCCCTGGTCTTCCATCATCAGATCCTAATTTCCTTATCATGGGACCATTCTGGGACAAAACAAGAATTATCGAAATCGGTTCATAAATAACGGAGATATGCGCGAACAAACATAAAAAAAGCATATATACGGTCGAATTAAGAACCTCCTCCTTTTTTGAAGTCGGTTAAAAAATAGGAATATAGGGGGGTAGGTACAACTTTATAGTCGAATTACAATAAAGGAATGTACGATAATAGGTACTATATTATGTAAAATTATTGTAGCGAATCCGAATGACACGGAGGAACAGCGTCTGTTGCGTGCACGCATCGCAGACTCGCTGACGTTCTCTTCTCCCGCGTCATCTCTGGTGCAACCAGCGGGCCGCTCCATGTCCATCCTCAGCTCCGTCTGCGCGTTGCTGCTCAATAAACAGGTACAACTTTCTGCTTTCCACTTACTTGTGTCACTTGTCTATAATTATTGCCTTTTGTAGAATTGGGGTAAATTCTAAACTATACTATACTTACCTAAACTAAATCTATCCGTTATTTGTAATTATTAAAATGACCATTAATAGTTAGAGATTTTGGAAATGGAGCCCTTTACTCCTTTTTTAAGGTCCGGGCTTGGATTAATTGGATAAAAATGTCGATAATTGACATGATAATTTTAGACCCTTAGCGCATATTCCCTACCTAAAACAAAACAATAATTTTAATTCCTACAGTCCCCACTGTAAACTGGGGTTATGAGAAAGAAGATCCATTGACTTCTGTAGTGCTTAGCTAAACATTTACTTTTTTTTAGTAAGTATTATGTATGGTTAGGGAATGTGAACAATAGAGTTTGGGCTTGCACTGTGGTTAGGGCTCGCAAGCCGCGAAGGAGGTGTCGAGCTTCACGGGCAGCCTCCGCTCGGATAACATCTGCCGCATCTGCTTCGGCGGCGAGTCTGCCGAGCGCCTGGTGCGGCCATGCTCCTGCCGGGGCACCATCGCTGCCGTGCACCGCTCCTGTCTGGAGCGCTGGCTGCTGCAGGCTGCCACGTCCTACTGCGAGCTGTGCAGGCATCACTACATTGTCACCAGGAGTCACAAGTGAGTTGCTTATGTTTTTATTATTCTAAAATTTGCTCTCGGTTTCGGTTTTAATCTATTCCACTAGACGTTTGATTATATTGTCGTTAACGGGAGTCTATTACAAGTACTTCGGTCCAGATGGTCATGGATGCGGTCGATGGCGGAGTGGGCGATGTCGGGACGCGGGCGTGCGCTGGCGGCGGACGTGTGGCGCGCGCTTGCGCTGGGCACGGCCAGCGTGCTCGGCACGGCGCGCGCACTGCACGCCTGCGACGCCGTGCTGCAGGCGGGCGCGCGCAGGGGAGGGGGCGCCGCACTGGCTGCCAATCTCTTCTCCTCATTGCTCATTGGAGTTATTGGTGAGAATCAAAAAAGTTAGATATAATATAATGCCCAGACGTCTTATTTTTTTAACAGACACTAGTAATCACGATGCATAAAACCTATTAATGAGACGTAGATTTTGTTTTATTGTAGGATGATATCTCATTGTCTCAGATACACCATAATCACTGCTGGGTCTTTCCATGGTCACACCAGGCGCGCTCAACGGCCTGCTGACGACGTGGATGCTGCTGAAGATCCAGGAGCACCAGCTGTCGTGGCAGGCGTGGCGTGACAGCACGCTGCACGTGCACGTCACGCTGGCGGACGAGGAGAGCACGCTCACCCCGCACCCCTCCGACGCTACGGTGGTGGGCGACGAAGATGGTAATGCCACCGCTGACAGGAGCACTAATGTCGCTGATCCTTTTATGGTTGCACTCCCGTACAATCTGCCAGACCCATGAAGTTAGTATAATTTGATCTACGATAATGGTTACCATTTAATATTTCTGTGTTACTGAATGGCAGACATAATTATGTCGTTACCAACTAAATACATTAGATTCTTACTTAAATAATACCGCTTGGGCCCAGTCTGAGAGCACCCACTGTTTCATTAAATAATATCATTTTGTTCACAGATACTTACACGTACTACGTTACAAAAAAATCAAGTCTCTATTTCCGGTTACATTAAATTGTTGTCTGGAGGCACGGCAGTGGTCCGCCAAGTTAACTCATTTGCAGCAACTATGACATTTTCGTTTTTGAGTTTCACGATTACGACCGGCGCTTGTTTTATAATTCTAATGAGTTTGGTAATATTACGGCATATCAGAGATGCGAACCCCATCACTTAGTAACTCTAATGTAAGACTACAAGGTGTAACATCTAAGCCAACAGGTGACTTCCTGAGGTGCGCGTGGCGCTCCCAGGGGTACGGGACCGCCGCGCCTGCTTCGTCCTATACAAGTCACTGTAGCTCTGATTTTCATCAAATAAATACTTTTGAAGTTACTTAATTTATATTTTAATTTCTTTGAACTTTATTTTTTGCTTACTCGTTATCTATTTGCAATACACTCTTCAATGCGCACTTTTTATTCAACCGATAACAATATTTTGGCCTTCTAAATATGATCATAACAACTTTTGACAAGAATATTATGACGACGTCAAGTTGTAAATTGATGAAACAATCGTTTGGTGCTAACTATCGAGTGATAAGTGCGTTATTTTCAGACAGTTTTTTGAATTTATTGAGTCTTGTGATATTCCATTTAGGATGAGCCATTTGGGTAGTATTAGGGCTGGCACTCACTGCTGGCAAAGCATGGCAAAGGATTTCACCAGTAATCAAGTTATTTTGAAGAAAATGAATTTAGAGTTCATGTTACTTTATTTCGATAGGTAGTATGACGCCGCGGGATGCCGCAGCCGCAGCACAGTCTGCCGTCAGGCAGGTGTCATGGCGGCAGTGAGCGCCGGCCCTCAGGGTGTTTACATAATATAAACAGGTCTGTAAGTGTGGACAAATGTGTATCGAGCCGACACTGTCGGTACCCATGTCTTTAGAGATGTGAGTGGATTGAATACTTAACATTCACATTGAAATATTATGCCCGTGCCGATCGGTGCCGACCCGAACACATTCCACCAGTACAGACTTGTTTTTTATTTCAGCACCCTAAGATAGATAGTAGGTTAGGTATGTCATTGTGGTCACCTCGGTCCACCCTTGTTTGATCGAACAACGTTTGATATAATATTACTAAATCGAACAACGTTTAAGAATATCTTCACTTAATAATATCGTTTGAATTTTCAGTTCGTTGAATATTTATTTGCTATAACAACATTTGCGCTAATGATTAAAAGGTATAAAGTTCATTTGCTTTTAGTAAATCTATTTTTTCTAGCAAAATTTTTTCGGCACCCGACACATTTGGTTAGGTTAGGTTAGAACTGTGACCCTCACAAAGCGCGAGGCGGTGCCGCGGCAGCGGCCGCTTACCGCTAAATCATAACATAACATCTGGGGTGAGCCTATTGCCATATACCGGGCTACATTCCCGACTCCGTGCTACTACTGAGAATTTTAAAACCCAGTATTACTTTGCCCGACCCGGGAATCGAACCCGAGACCTAATGCCCGGCAGTCGCACTTGCGACCACTCGGCCAACGAGGCAGTCGCTATATCACAAAGGAATAATTCGACGAAATGACTTTATTGCAACTAAAAGTCGATGAAGTGATTTTCGACGAAACGTTGTTCGACCAAACAAGGGTGAACCGGTCACCTGTACACCTTTCAAAAATGTTTAATTTTTTTGGTAAATATTGAAGCGAATAAAATTGTAAATGATAATACATAAAACTTTTGTTAATCAATATTTATTTCATTATCAATATAAATTAACATAATAATCATATAATATAATAATATCAAATTTCATAAAATCAGTAGCGAATACATGAAGCCGCTGTTATTATTAATATCAAATTCATAAAATACGTTAAATAATCGTGAAACAGTATGTACACTGATAAACAAGGATACTACTCTCTTATGTGGGTATATAAGTGCAAGCGATCCTCAGCAGTGCGGTACTACGCTATGACCTACCAGTAGTCGCTCGATATATAAATGTTAGTTCAACCTTACAAGCTAACGTAGAAAAAAATCACATCTTGAGATAATAGTAAATAGGAGGACTGTATCGAGACAGCGCTTGGAGATACGAGTTGGGCGGACACTGACATATAAACATTTATAACAAACGAACAAATCAACAACATACGCTCTTTGGATTTATATAACACACTTCGTAACGTACTATTTGTGACTACAGCGCTCTACTACTCGGCGCTGCGCCTGACTCCCAGCGACGTGGACACCGTCTACTGTCACTTCACTTCAGCTAACAGGATACGCTCGACTAAATCACTGAAGCCTTCTAAAAATAATCGCCAGCTTAGACACAAGGGAGTCTAATCAATTACCCCTCGAGGCTTCACAACATTTGTACTTTGCAGTGACAATATACGGTGTTTACGTCTTACGTCCGGGCAACAGGGTGACGGTCAGTCCTGGTCCTTGAACCGGCGGTAGATGGACTGCACGTATGTGAACACACACTTCCAGTCCGGTTTGCGCATCGTCACCATATCGTCCACGTCTAGCAGGGGATAGATGCCCGCCTTCTCACTGGAAACAAATGGAACAATAATGAATTTAGGAATGAGGTGATAAGTTCTTTGCCTTGTAATCAGAAAGTGGTTATACAGGCCTGGTTACAAATAGATATACTCACTCGGCAATTTTGAAGGCGAGCGTAAAGTTGTGTCGGCGTTTCTCAGGCGAGAGCTTGGAGTAGTCGAAGGCGTCAGGCAGGAAGTGGTGCACCAGCGCGCAGAACGCCAGCCCGTCCGCCCAACTCGTGGAGAAGTTCTCCAGCTTCACATTCTGGACAAACATGCACATGTTACACTACATTCATGTTGATGAAGGATTTTGGGAAATAACATTTCATGAACCCATACGAAATCTTTACACTTGTTCTTTAAAAAAATAAAAAGCGTACCGCCAAGTCTTTTAAAACTTAGCCCCTTTCTTAGTGCAAATAAAATGTAGGAAATTAACACTTAGTCTTATATATTTCATTACATGTTGGAATTTTATCATGGGTACTGTGCTAAATACACCTGTGTGGTCGGCTAAATGCTATCTACTAAGTGAGATTCCAGAGTGCTTAATATTAGGCACAACGTGTTCAAGTTCACCCATTTTATTTACAGTTCATACTCACACTAATTTGGGCATTTATATCTAAAGTTAAAAACACAAAACCATGCATATTCTTGAACAATCATATTCACACTCCAACAAACTTATCTGTATTACAACAAACTCATAAACCCATGCTGTAATCAACTCTATATTCAGTTGTTTGAATCATTCGTTTACCTGGTCGGTGGTTGTTGTAGATTTCAAACAAATATCGTCGGTATGACAATATTCCCAAACATTGTTGGGCTTCAGATAACCATGAATATGTAAATTACGTTATGGATAGTTGGGAACCAAAGTAATAAAATTTGGTTGTCATGTGGCAATATACATAAACAAAGTAGTAAATATGATAACACAACGTAGGTACGTATAAATATATACAGAACAGAATACAGAGAAGTAGCAGCCAAAGTGAAGCGATAAGAGAAGCGTGGAGTATGAGTGGTAGTGACGTCATCAACGTGTGTGTTAATGCCAGATGCGCGTGCGCAGCGTACGCTAACAACATGCTACAACTCGATAACGCGGTTAAATCCGTTTAGTCCGAAGGGCCTGCTGTTAAGGCAGATGCAAATTTTGTGATATCGACTCCCGCTCGGCATTATCACCATCTCCGAATGTTGTCAAAAATATGCATTTGCCTGTAGTAGCCGCATCCATAACCTCCCCAATACGTGTACTGACTAATGTTTACTTGCACAGTGTGTGTTATGTTACGCAGTGGGGGTGTTGCGTGCGGACGGAGGAGGCGGGAGGTGTGGAGTGTACCTCGTAGTCCCGGGTCTTGTCGCGACACCACTGCAGCAATCGTTCTTTAATAGTGACGGCGCTGGCTTGCAGCGCGGGGTCCGTGAACTTGAAGTAAGGCTGCGCCGGAGAGCCCGGGCTCTGCGGGGTCTTGGGCGAGCTACAACCGGGCACGCATGTTAGTCACCGACCCTCATCTAGCTGCGACCGAGCGTTAGTTGGTCGACGGTCAAACTATTAGTTCGTGTGTCACATCGTGTGCTACGGAACGCGTGTGCTATTATATTAATGGGGGTCGCTGGTTATTTACAAGTCGCGTGCTGATGTCAACTAGATGTCAAGCTATCAGCCGAGCTTCGCCATGAACGACAACTGAAGGTTCTCATGACAGGGTAAGTACACACGTGCGATTATTGACAGAGGCTTCGTATGTACTTAGCCTTATGCTTCTCAGAAAAAATGATTATCGTATTAAGCGTCTAATATACATGTTATATGCATATCATTAACTTGTATATTTACTTGTATTTAATCCTTATTCGTATCCACAGATATGGCTGCCAAAATAAATAAAATATATTGCATTACATTACGTATGAAGCGAAAGGATCTTATACATAAAATATAGTATTTGAATGGTATGGAGTTTCATGTATCGGTCGTAATCTTTGTATGGAATCTTGGCATTGTTTAGTTTTGTATGGAAGGACAACACTTACTTGGGACTGTTTGTTGAGTTTTGTTTTTCGAGTTGCCGGAACTTGGCGAAGGGCGACACGGGCTTGGGCGCCGGCCTGGTCATACTCTCTATCACTGTGGAGTGTCAAGGTTTGTTGCATATGTCAAACAAATTGCTTAATTATAAATGTGGTAATTAATGAACAGAGGATTGGAAGCCTCCTTACCTTTAGATGTCTTAACGGTGGTGGTGCTACTACTAACAGTTTTCTCTGATGAGTTCCTCCTCACGCTCGATGTCACGGTTACTTCCTCTTCCTCTGCAATAAAATGTTCTCATTAGTTGCTTGAAGCTGGCACACATGCACAGAAATCTAACACTAACTCGAACACTTGGAAAACAATCAGCAAGACAATACAACAATAACCTATAAGCTATTAGTCAAATAACACGGTTACAGGGCGCTATGAAGATGGTACGGAGGTTACGAGCACATATGTACATCGACGTGATAGCGCGGGCGCAGGGCCAGAGGGGGCCGGGGGGGGCATGCGGGGCGGGCACAAGCACAGACCCACACACACACGACTCACGCGCGTCTCGCTCGTCTCTCGCTCCTAACTAGTGGAATGTTGCGACGCTACGCTACGCGAGCGCCGACACCAGGTCCTCGAATGCGTCCTCCGTGTTGCTCTCGTCCAGGAACTGCAGCTCCGACACCGTGGGCATGGTGCGGCTACGGCCCAGCGAGTACGGCTGCGGCGGCGCGTACGACTGGCGCAGCGCGCGTGGCCGCGAGCTGCTCGCTGGCGTTGGCCGCGCCGGCTGCGGCTGCTGGCCAGAGAAGTACGCCTCCACCGTTCGCTTCTTTTCGGTTACTTCCTCACGCGCTATTCCACCCTCATACAACTTGGGTACAGCTAGGAGGTGCATGGATTTGGCACGAGCGACTACGCGACGCGGCGAGGCTGACTTGGGACTGGCTACCATTTGATGCCACGAGCCAGATCTGCTAAGCGGGTTGGAGCCGAGGCTGCCAGCCGACTCGCTTGACAGGACAGACTCGCGGGACGCGGCCAGACCGCCAGGGGAGTGGGGAGCGTGCGGGGAGGCGGGCGCGAGCAGGGGGGAACGGCCGGTATTTACAGGGGCCCGTACCTGGGACCTCGCTGTTTCGCGTTTTTTCCTTTCGATCTGGTTGATGACATCGTTTTTCGGAGACGAAAGTTTGTCTAGTGCTCCGCGCAGACTGTCAGCAGCCGAACCACGACGACCCTCGTCGTTGCGTGTGCGCACTCCAGTGGTGATAGTAGCCGCACCACGCACTGGGCCGCGCATCACCCGAGTCACCACACTGTCGTGCTCTGTGGTCACACCTTCGTCGACACCATTTGTGTATGGCACATCACCATTCTGGTATGCGTGGGGTGACTCTGTGATGTTAGTGGCTCGTGGTGAGTATGGACTGGCGGGTGCCCGGCCCTGTAGCGGTGAGGCACCGTTACGGTGTCTATCTGTATCGTTTGTAACGACATCTGGTAGGTAGTCTACTTTATGGGCGCGAGCTTTCTCTATATCTGGAGTGCGCTGTAGAGGGACAAAAGTAGAGATACCATTGGATGGTGTATAATCGGTAATAGTATAGGCCGGTGGCGCGGGTGGCTTTCGTTCCATGGGTTCACTGTGGCCATTCGTCACTGTTTCGCGCCGGTTCTTTTCACGAATCTGTTTTTCGTAAAATTCTATTTGTAATTTCTGTGCATCAACCTTAGGTAAATATGCATCTTGTGGCGGGAGCTTTGTGTCGTCTGCTTTCCGTACGAGTTCTGGAGCAGAGAGGTCATTCTGACTGGGTATTGTCTTCATCGGGTAGTTTTGCATCTGTGGGGGTGCGTGAGTCTGCGGTGCAGGCGGGTGAAACGCGGACGGACGTTCCCGGTAGGGTGCAGGCGCCAGATCAGGCTTGTTCGTCTCGAACTTAGTAGCGGCTATACCAACCACTCTCCTTGGCTTATCAACGTCTGAGGCCCACGGTTTACTGGGCGCTGGGGGGCTTGGGGCAATAGGCCCTGGATTCACAAGGAACGCGGGTGTGTGGTCGACTGGAGGGGAAGTGACGTTCATGACGGATGGAGGGCTCCATATGTATGCAGGAGCAGCTGTTGGTGACGTCACTTTAGTTGGTGGCTTGAACGCGGACATAGGCGCGTGAGAAAATTGATTAACGGGTATGGGCCTTGCCACGAATGGTTTGACAACCAGTGGTTTTGTGGGGGACTGCGGCACAGGTGGGTGATGTGGTGGCGCGATTGGTGTGGTCAAAACTGCTGGCGCTGGCGCTGGAGGTAGTATTGGGGCTGAAGTCGGCGCTGCGATTGGTGCAGGTCGATGCGTGGGCAATGAAACAGGCGCGGTCGCTGGTGCAGGTGGCTGCTGCACTTGTCGCGGGATATGAACCCGCATGGGTTCCCTCCGTTCGTTCACCCACGGGGGTTTGACGATGTCATTGTTATTTGCATTAAAGAATTTCCTAGGTCGCGCACTGGCTGGATTCACTGTGGTCTCGTCTGCGGTGCGCCAGAAGCGACGCGCGGATGACGCACTTGACGACCTACTATTCATGTTGATATTATCTTCTCTTTCACGACTCTCAAATGCATTTTTTATGTTTCCAAACCTACTGCTCCAGTTTGCGGGCCCGTTGATAGAAGAGTCGCGGTCGGCCGCTTCGTTTTTCTTCATGAATGCTACAAATTTTCTATCATTCTCAGTTTGAGGTGTGAACTCGGGTACAATGGGACGAGGTGACGACTCGTCATCATTATCACTGTCAATGCGGTACCCGGCTAGCGGCCTTCCTATATCGATAGTGTTAGCGCGTTTCATCCGCAGCCGTTTGTTATTGCTGTTGCCGAACCTATTGAGTGGCTTAGAGTCATCTTGAGATGCAATCGGTGGTGCCGCAAAGTTGTAAGTGGGTGGGAGGGGCATGTATAATGGAGCACGATTGTTAAATTCTTTTTGTTGTGTGTTCACGGGTTCAATGGGGGCACGTCTTGGTATATTCTCTTTTTGAGCACGAGTGTCAAACTTATTAGCGATAGCAGCGATACTGCTCTTAGAGTCGGAGGGACGCCGCTCCATTCGCGGTTGTGGTTGGTACGGTTGATAGAGCGGCTGGGGCTGGTAAGGTACGTGTGGCGCGTGCTGCGGGCCCTGTGCCGGGGGCTGCGGCGCTTGTTGTGGCAATTGTTGGTGAGCTTGTTTTAGAGGGTGCATCTGTTGATGAGGCTGGGGTCTCTGACTACCCGTATCGGCTACCGAGTGCCGATAAAAATCAGGTTTCCGAGTAGTAGGAGCTCGTTTCTCCACAACGACATGCGCATCTCTGTTCAATTTCGGGGCTTCGTAGCTACCAGAGTGCGCTACTGGTGTGGATTTCTGTCGGGATGCGACTGCATCGTGATAACTGACGTTCTCGTCTATACTTTGTTTACGTTCTGGAGTAGAAGGTTCGTCAGTGCTGGTGGCCATGGAAGCCGTCGAGGTGGCACCTGACGATAAAGGACCCTTAGCGCCGAGCGCTAGCTGGTCTCGGTCGACTAGGCGACGTGCTTCCTCTAGCTCCTCATGAGTGACGCCGACCGTGTGCCTGGCTGCACGACTGCGGCGACGTGGCTTTCGCCGGCAGCCATCTAGCCTATCTGCAGCATCAAGGGCGTCTTCAAGCCGATCGGCGAGGGACAGGAGGGCGCGTGCCTGTGGGTGTTCTGTAGGGGGCGCTAGCGCGGCTCGCAGGCGGCCCAGTGACCGCCGCACATCTGCCACCACGTCAGCGGGTGCGGCGCCCAGCCCGGCCAGCAGGCGTTCTCCGCCGCCGCCCAGCAGCCCCTGCAGCAGTGGGAGGAGGAGGGACTCACCACGACTATCGCCTTCTGCACCTTCAGCTTCGCCCGCCGCCGCCAGGGCCTCCGTCACGGCGCTCGCGCATGCTGGAATATTCAACATTAGCTTGAAATGTAAATACTTACACACTTTAACACAAAATTTTAAGTTATTAACAGTATGAGAATCTAAACAATATATTGTAAACATGTGGTTTTGACATGTATTGTTATGGTCAGTGTTACCTTGCGTCTAAAATATTTGAATAAAATCTGTAAATAAATAGAAAACAATTTAATATTATGCAAGCACTTCACAATCGATACCTTCGATTGGAAGATTGCCTTGTCTCACCGACAGCTCGCTCCTCGTGTGGAGTCTATCGAAGTGTCGAGCTCTGTCTCAGTTCAGTGTGCTATGTGTATGTAATTACCTTCTTGTTCAGCCATTAGGGTGCGGATGCGCGCGCGCAGTCGTCGACGTTGCTCGTAGTCGTTGCACTCGTCCAACTGCAAGAAACGAATTAACATGACAATTTTTAAAAAGTGTGAGCAAAAATAATAAGTCATAGTATATGACTGTTGATTCATTCGAAAAACTGGAACACGACGCGGTGTATTGCCAGAGATCACTAGATCACTACATACGAACTCACACTCAGTTGCTGAAATCCTCGCAACATTGCGCAGTCTCACCCTAGAACAGTGCTTGTTTATGTCGCTGCGCGTGCGCAATGATACTATCCCCTACCACAACTGTGTACACCGCGTATTATTTACTCTGTGGTTACTGCCACTAAAGTGAAGAGAAGTGCACACTGGACTGCGTGGAAACGGAATGACTTTAGGTTGACGCTGACGAAGGAAGTAATGTCGCTACATAATAGCTTTACTTTAGTATCTTTTCACAGAAACATTGCTACCTTATCTGCTGCTCATAGTGACTGCCTTTGTAATCACAATGAAAGCATGGTGACTCAAGTGTCTTGTCATCCTATACAATGGATTCGGGAGTGCTGTCTGAATTAGTTTATTTACTTTTTATCAGTGTTTTGCCATTACGACTACTTGTCATAATTTGGTGGTAATACATTCTTTATTTTTTTGAAAGTTAGTTTCAAAAAATCCTGTACTAATATAATTTAATCATTGACTGCACGGTTGGTGCGGTGGCTGGGCAACCGGCTGCATTGCAACGTGTCGCGGGTTCGATTCCCGCACGGAACAACACTGTGTGATCCACAAATTGTTGTTTCGGTTTTGGGTGTCCTTGTATATGTGAACTTGTATGTTTGTTAGCGCACCTACGACACAGGAGAAAATTCTATTGTGGGGCAAAGTTTAAAAAAAATTAGTTGTCTAGTGTGCATTGTCTCTACGCGCACTTTCTGCACGAGTGGTCAAGTTGTCAATAAGTGACGTTTGTATTGCGGGCGGCAACCGGTTCGAGTACCGTGCCATGCCGGAAGTACTCCTAGCCGGAAGTGAGTGTTGCTCTCATTGCAGCGTTTTGTTGGAGAGCTGATGACTTCACAAAGTGTATTCATTAGACATATCGGTATATGTTTAGGTGTCTCGAGTGGAGAATGTTATACTACAGATTAGGTGACTTTGTGACTACAGTAGTGGTCAGTGGCACTTGTTTAATCCTATCTTGTTCTTAGTACCTAAGAATTTCTAATTAATTGGGCCAAGCACGACAATAGGCGCAACAACAGTTTTTGAACTATACCTATGCGCACAGACTCACAAGTATAATATCATTCGCTTTGGCCCACGCAGCGATGTCTTAGTATTGTGACACCGTGTGACATTCCTCAGCAGCTCAGCACTCAGTCGTGACTGACCAGTGTCCACTGCGATCAGTGTCAAGTACACGCGACGCGTTCCCATGCTGTGTCAGCGAAAGTGATTGGTTACAACTTACCGGTGCCGACACGAGGCACGAGCGACCAGCGATATTGGACATCTTCGAATTAGTGTTGTTGTTTATGTGACATGCTTATCAAAATTAATGTTTTGTCATTCAAAAGACATGTACCGAACTTAGACTAACATAGAGGATCAAACCCTATTGTAACACTACCAGCCAGCTGTTTCTGTGTACTATTAAATGTAACATGTAATAAAGTAACAGCACAGTAAACAGAGATAGAGTAATAGAATCGCATACAATATCTTGTCATTAAAACCAGAAGCGCGTGCGCAGTTAGTCGCGTAAAGTTTCACGCGTCGCGCTGCGCGTGAGTGGACGTCGCGTCGTCACACCGTGAAAGCCGCTAAGTACCGACTGCCAATACTTTCCTTGCCGTGATTTGTTGATGTGTATGTGCGAGGCTATACTTCTAATGAAGCTGTTTACTTGTATCATTTATTTCTTGTGAACTTTAGGCTCGGGGATGATATGTCATTAATATCAAAATTGTATTTTTAGGGTTTCCTCACTATCATCATTTTAGTGAATAACAAGTGATACGTTAAGTTAGTACTTCTGAGGAAGTATCCACGAGAAGACTGTTAGATACGGATCATATTTGACAAACTAAATACTATTCTGACAAAAAACAAGGCTTGAGATTATGTTTACAGTTAAAATCGCAATGTTTTGAAACTCGATTAACTGGCGGTGAACCGGAATGAGTCACCTAATAGTTAATGAATGAAAGTCGTATGAATGGAGACGAGACCGGTCCAGTGGAGACACGGCCTGGGTCGGTGACTCACTCGACACCATTAGGTGCAGGTATGTACCTACTGCAGACTAAGACCAGGGTCGATGACGACTTATTTAACTATTTACAAACCTGATAAGATTAGACTAGCGAAAATATTCAGTTCTCGAATTTCAGTTTTTAATGCAATTGTTCTTTATTTTTCATAGGAGATATGTAACACTATACATTACCGATACCGAAGTTTAAGACTGTACTTTTAACTCATTATTTACTTAAAGAAAATTATAGAGCCACTAAACAAGACCACGTCTAGAGTGCAATGACAAGCCTCCATAGGTCCTACATTAGGAGATAATATCTCCTGGTTGTACCTGCAGTGAGGGCACTAATGATGATATACTCACGAGTTTCCTAAGCAGGCGCTCGTCCCAGCACTGGTCTACGTCGAAGTCCTCGATAGTCCTGGTCTGAGTGCTGGTTACTTTGCCGCCACCACTGCTGCTCGTGCGGACTGTCTCCTGCAGGACAAACAAACAAACTATGAAGATAGTTTATATAAATAGACGATTGTCACGGTTAAATAACTAACCTAACCTTCCAATATTTGTGTGAGTCACTCGGCTCGTATATCAATGTCGCCGCTATTGCGAAACCGAGTTATTTTCACTAAATAATAGAAATGACATCTTGAAAAATACACGAAATAGCGCATCTTCACCTTGCTGGTCAAAGGCCGGCGCAGGCGCCTGCTAATATACATAGCACAGCTGTTAATGAATCATTTGTTATGCGAGGTGGACACGTTGACAGATTGCTTCACCAATTTTATATTTAAATACTTTCTAATGCTCGACAACATTCGCACCTAACTAAATATGAAATCCTATCAAATACTCATGTAGTATAAACATTATTTTATTTACTTTTCAGACATGAAGATACGTTTCGATCTTTATTTTGTCTGAAGCTCGTAGCCTGTGATGTATTACACGTTGAGTATAGAGCCAGCTGTTGCGAGATGTTGTAATATAGCTAAAAGTAAAAGAATGTATAATTCATTGATACGAGAAGTGATGGCGGCCGCGGGCGGGAAGAAAGCAGCAGCTAATTCAGTGGTACACATGACACGTGGGGTGACCTTCAGCCGCCATATTGCCCGCTAGGGTTGCCCGCACGCTGCCCGTATGGCTGTACCCCGCCCCGTTACTACTTCATAAACTTTATGGCGATATTGACGTCATCGCGAGCTCCAGATGTTTTATTGAGGAAGATTTGTATCAAAACATTATCTGCTATCGATTATTTTTCATTCATAACATTTATTTACAGACGTTGCTTGTGTTGTACGTAATATAAGGAGCGATTTCATTCTCGTGTCGATACTGGCTGTCAAATAATGTTTTGTAAGTCGATAATTTTCTTTGTTACGTTGTTATTGAAGTGCAGTAATAAGCACATAGTGGGTGAAATCACTGTTTCAAAGAGGAACAGGAAACGTGACAACCCTGTTATTGCAAAGAAGTAATTCAGTGTAACGGTCGAATAGTTATAGTCTATTTCTGAGATTCGCGCAACAATACACACACACACACACACACACACACACACACACACACACACACACACACACACAAGTAAGATAGGTAATTTTTTCAGATCATTAGATAATTCTGCATCAGTGAACAATTTGTTGTAGTAACTGTAGAGCGGCGCGAGATATTTCAGGAATGCTGAAGTTTACAGGTTTACATTAACATACTACTTATATAGATAGTGCATTCAGTTACATACATTATGCAAAGATGAGCTCGAGACAGTCAGTCTTCTATGGAAGTTTGGAGAAGTTATCATTAAATATGTATAAGTAGGTCATCTCACAATCCTCAAGCTCATGAAGAGACTTGTAAGTGTTGTCAACTTGTCTCGACAGCTCAACATCTATCTAAATTCTTTACCACTATATATCGGTTTGAAGTGTATTTCACAGTGAGTGCATTCTCATTGTATTGCTCTCTGATATCTTTATTGTTTTGTTTGTGTCCGCCATCAATTTGACTCCAGGCCAATTTGTAATGTACGGGACAGCAGCGGGCACCTTGTCCTGCCTCATTTATTCTGGAGTATCATTCATCTGCCGACTGACGATGCACTGGCATAGAAACTTCACAAAGAAGTAGGTAATGCAATGGTATTTAGTCTCCAATTACTTTTTTGGGGTATGGGGAATGTGATACAGTTAGGTATGTATCCACACAGCCAAGTGGTGGCAACTAGTGCGTGATATCACATGAATAAAGTTTATGACACGCCTGATGGACACCGCTTGTTTATACGATCTCTAAACGATGCGCGGGCGCCGCTCCAACGCGGAACTTAGTACTTTTACGCGCGGACACTAAACCCATGACCAGCTTCTAAATTCGTAGAGATGATGTCTCCGGAGATGCACCCGGGCGCCATTTACACTGGACAGGAATTGTCAGCTGTGAGCAGACTGTAGCCAACTATTCCATCGTCACCAGTATTACGAGATCTGTGTACCTGTTGTTATCATTCACTTCTGTCCAAATGATGGAGTGCAATAAGTATCTTTTGAGGAAGCTTTGTAGTTATTGTTGTTGTTATTGCCAAGCACTCAAGTAGAAGTAATGTTTTATACAAATGAGGAAAACATATTTAGTAGAAATGCAATTGAAACATTTATAATATAAGAGCAGCGAGTAATTACTCGAAGAGCTTTCGTAAATACTTCAATTGAAGTAGCAGCACACAGCTCCACTTAAACTAATTACTCTCAATCACACGGAGAGTGTCTCCCGCGTGTCTGTTGCCGACTCCCAGCTATTTACCAATTGCTCTGCCTTGACAGCAGTCGGCTAAACATAGCTCGTGAGTCAGCAGGTCAAACGGCTCGGATGCCGGCAGTCGGAGTCTTGTTGCATTCCCTGCTACAGACTGAAGCTGCAGCGGTAATTCCAGAAGGTACAATGTCTCGTGTCCTTGCACAAGAATGCAAAGAAACCTCACATCGAGTGTTCTGGGTATTTTAGCTCCAAGTTATTTTAGTTGGAGATAGGAATTTGGAGAATTTAGAAATAAGCAATAAACGTGGGCACAGAGAAAACTGTAATTTAGAGCAAGTCGAATTGTAGAAATCCAGTGAGAAATCTGTCATATCACGAATGCTTTTCAAACAATGATCAGTGAATGATTGACATCCAAAAACAAAGCAGCATAGTATAAGTGGGCGTTCGTTGACATCAGTGATAGGGCGAGATATCGACGTGGATGAGTCATCTCACGACGTGCCAACAGCCGGCCCTTTGAAGTCGTGCCCTTGTTTAGTCTCACACAGCCGCCCAATGTGCTCGCTAGAGTAGTCATGAAACTACGTATCGATAACTATTGATGGCCTGAATAACTGTTCATTGGTTGTAGACTAGTAGTAGCACCAGTAGCTGCTCTGGTTTCGTTATGCTTCTATGATCATTCGATGATCTCATTTCATTGATGATGTTTCAAATTACTATACCATGTAGTTATAGTGTTGTAATTCTATCGTATTTAATATTTTTATTTTTATTTCAAGTTTTTCGATTTCAATTACAAAATATTTTATTTATTTTTTCATTTTGTATTTGTTTTTCATTTGTTTGTATATATTATGATGTTCACGTTGAAAATGATATCGCGATGTTATTATAACAGTTTATTTACCTACAACACAGACGGTGGCGATGCGTGGGAGTCGCGAAATGTGAATTGCAATACTACACACGTTGTGAGTGGATATTTTTATATTATTCGCGAATACTTCAGCCGCTGAAATAGAGATCGCATGAGATAATCATGTAGTGCTTACAGATGGGAGATTGAGATGTTTCTATGATCTGTGGTTCATGAGATTTAGGTTGTAATGTTGTTCTTATGTTTCAAATGAAATATAATGTCGTCCATGTTATTAAATATTGTGTATCTGTGCGTTCGTCTTAATATTCTATTGTTACTTATAGTTTTATTGTTGGCGTGCCGTTGTTATTGATATCAAATGTGCAATTATTAAATAACTACATTATTGCACATTCTCAAGCGACTGTTTCGTTGCTATAAACACGTTCTAGTAGCACATAATACTAAAACTACATCTGACCCTATTTCCCATGAATTGATCTACATTCCGGTCTGTATAATAATAATAGGCGCGATATATTTCAGAAGATCACTGGGCCACATTTTTGGCAGGTCGCTCCGAAACTGCGCAGTAAAAATAAAACTGCGCGCGCGCATCTCCGCTTCCAATAGATCCGCAATAGCGGGAAGTGGCTGGATTGTAAATATAATGTGCAAGAGACGAAAGATGATACTACATAGTGTTTACATAGCGGTGTATGACGTCTTGCAACATTTAAATAAAACGGGAAGAGACTGGTATACTTTTACTGACCATACTGAATTTTACGTGGGTGGTACATCACATTACTGAATTCAAGGATTTCCGATTCTTTCACATCGTTAAAGACGTCTCTTATTATGATTTTAATGTGTTTGAGAGATTTCTGTATTAATGTCGCGTAGCTTATGTTGTGGCTATTGACTACGTAAGCTAAGAAAGTTGTGACAACTTTATGAAATTTTCCCCAGTATATTACCAACATTTTAACGATTGTACCGCGTACGATCAAAATTTAATTATTGACATTAACTGTTAATTTGAAGTAATATGAAGCAATGGCTGTTTCAACGAATGCGAGGAGAGTGTATGTCTGTCTGTTTGTGTGTTACATCTTAATTATAAGAAAGTGTAACTTTCATAAGGTGGTGATAAAATACGGGAGCTCGTTAACTGACGTCGGAAAATTAAAGTTTTATAAAACATTTATTATTAAACATTAATACTCTTACTTGTGGGTACTTTCGTTATCTTTTTATGGATGTTGCCTTCCTCTTAGAGAAAATTATTATTTATGTAAGTAGTTACTCATTTAACACTTTCATTAACATTTTCCAACACTTAGATTTTCTAAATTAATTATTATGTTTTCTTCTTACTCACGTAACTGTTTGACGAGGAACTCGACTAGTTTCAAGCCATGCTAGGGGCTCATATTCAAGATACGACGAAAACGTAATTAAAAATTTAGTAAATTTCACGAAATTTTTAATATATACTTATATTTTCTCTTATGTCGTTGAAATCAAAGATTTACGCAAAGATATTTGTTCGATCTTAGATAGATGTATAGGTAAACAAAAATATCTTTTATAGCATATGAGTATCGATTAATATAAAGAAGAACTTGTCAGTATAGGAGGCAACAGGTGGAACAAACAGGACCTATGTCACTGGCTGACAACTATCTGCAGACCATGTACTCAATAGTTTCACAATTATAATGTGTTGCATTAAACATAATAATTTAATGCTAACATATAGGTTTTCGATATTCAATCAACAGATATCGTATATATATCCTTATAATGTTTTCAAATGTTATTATAAACTGTATATTGATGTAAC